GTCTGCTTTCGTTTCCACTTTCTGCCCCCACCCCCTCATCTCCTTTATCCCCTCCTCTGGGCTCCTGACTCTTTCTGAAGCCTTTATACTGCTACTCCTTGGCTCCTTCTAACTGCTGTCTTTCTGCCACACCCCTGATCTTCTGGTAGGAAAGATCTACACCTAGCCTTCTCGGACAAAGGCGAAAAATCTCGGAGGGCCCGTGTGCAAGTTGCGCACGTTAAAGATCCCTTGGAGGTCTAAAATCGATAAGAGTAGTCTTCGGCCGCCACCCGGGCAAAATTCAAAATTACCTACCAACTGAAAATATTAGGTGTGTCCCGCGCGATCATATGACCTTATGCAGTTGCGAGCGCCGTAAAAACACTTACCAAAACAAAAAAAACATAAGTACATTGTACTCTAAAGAGTAAGTCATGCCGTCCCTCCCTCCCCTCTCTCTCTCTCTCTCTCTCTCTCTCTCTCTCTCTCTCTCTCTCTCTCTCTCTCTCTCTCTCTCTCTCTCTCTCTCTCTCTCTTTCTCTCTCTCCAAAAGCAATTAGGTGAGCTGACCAAGAAAACCACCTCCAGACTAAACCTACTGAACATAGTAAACAAGTGAGATTTCCGTTCACTAGCCGTGTGCACTGCTCCACACCTCTGAAATTCTGGAGCATGCAACCATGAAAGCGGAATAGAGAACCAATTTATACATCTATCATATTATATTTGGCAACTTGGAAAAACACGTGTCACTTTTCCAATAAAACAGCTGCAGAGTTGAAAGTTGGCCAGTGGTTGCAAAAAAATAGATAGGTCCCCATGAAGGAGCCTGATTTTTTATTTTTTAATTTCTTGAATTTAGAAAAATGCATTTGACAAAAAGTTCCCGTCCTTCTTTGGCCTCTGTGATTATTCCACTGAGAAACGAAACAAATCTGCGTAGCTGTCCTTCACAATGGAAGTGCCGGAAGTGATATTTCGCGAGGCACATTTTGGTTTGAGAGTATAGATCTAGACCCTTCCAATTTTTTGCATCTCTCAAGATTTATTGCTCCTTTCCAGTAGAGTGTAAATTATAGTAGGCCAATGACTTTAAGTTGATGTTAATGTACCGATCATTCCTTTCATCGAAAGGGGGCCCAGCCAGTTTCTTATAATATTATAATGAAGCTAAACCAGTTTGTGAGATGAGTATACATTTTTTACACCGGTCGTGTCCATAAAATCTACTAAAATATGATTCAGTTAAGAAGTGTCTCAAAGGGTTACGTGGGCATATTTTCAAAGCTCGTTCACAACTTTGGACTTGTGAACAGGCGCGTTGCCGTGATGCGGGATGACGCCTTTTTCAAGCAAACCGGGTCTTTTTTTCCGGATTGCAGGTCTCAGCTTGTCTTGGAGGACTGTAATAGTCACCATTGATAGTTACGCCAGGTGTGCCTAACCAGCTCAGTATGATGCCACTCATGTCGAAAAAAACAATGTGCTTCACCTTTCTCTCCCCGTGTTTTCTGTGTGCGCTTCATATTTTATATCCGACCTCCCACCTTCAACCTCCCTGATCCATTTCCTTATTGATTTAATTAATGGAGCATTATTCCAGATTACTTTCTATAGATCACCATGGGTTTCAACTGCAGACTTGCAGAGAAGAGTTGAAAATTTGATCACTACTCGGAAATCGTAGCTTGTGAAGGTTGCACCAACGTTTTGCTCAGCCATTTTCCTCGAATTTGACTTGCACAAAGTGCACAGGAGCACCAAAATTGACACTTCAAAGCTCTATGACCCGTTCACAAATGCTCTTGCAATTTGAGGATGAGATTTCCTTCTTAGACATGATGTCATGACGTCACAAAATTGAGTTGCTGTTGGTTGTGCACTTTTGGTTTTATGGAGGAGGGAAACTTTATTCTGAGACAGACCTCGTATACAATTTTTTTTTTTAATATA